CCATTATCACCATCAACACACCGCCTACCACCACCAGGAGCGTGAAATCCTATAGAATGCACATGAGTCATTTTGCCTGCACACAGGTGTTTTCCACCCTTCTGCGACCTCTAGCGGCCGAGTATATAAGCTAGGGTGGGTCAACAAATTGCATCGTTTAGAGGACACTCAGGGCTTCCATTGCATCATCAATCACCGCCTACCACCAATAGGGGCGTGGCAATTCACCAAAACACTTGGAATTAACGTGTCACCCTTTTGCGGACATTAGCGCCTAAACAGGGTGATCTAAGATGGCGCAAACTATTTGATTCATGTAGCCGCACAGGTGCACGTTAATTAGAGACATCAATCTCAGATATAGGTTGAACAGGTGAGTGGCAATCAACAAAAAGTGAAAATTTCAAAATTCTATCTTTTACCTTTTTGTGTTTCCAGTTAAGGGGTATATGAGCGGGGGGATGAAACCAAGTGATCACCTAGAGACTCGGGGCTTCCATTATCACCATCAACCACCCGCCTACCACCACCAGGAGCGTGGAAATCCTATAGAATGCACCATGAGTCATTTTGCCCTGCACACAGGTGTTTTTCCACCCTTCTGCGACCTCTAGCGGCCGGAGTATATAAGCTAGGTGGGTCAAACAAATTGCATCGTTTAGAGGACACTCAGGGCTTCCATTTGCATCATCAATCACCCGCCTACCACCAATAGGGGCGTGGCAATTCACCAAAAAACACTTTGGAATTTAACGTGTCACCCTTTTGCGGACATTAGCGCCTAAACAGGGTGATCTAAGATGGCGCAAACTATTTGATTCATGTAGCCGCACAGGTGCACGTTAATTAGAGACATCAATCTCAGATATAGGTTGAACAGGTGAGTGGCAATCAACAAAAAAGTGAAAATTTCAAAATTCTACTTTTACCTTTTGTTTTCAGTTAAGGGGGTATATGAGCGGGATGAACCAAGTGGATACCTAGAGACACTCGGGCTCATATCACGATCACCACCTACCCATCACGACCACCTACCTATGAACACCGAGTCGTAGATCACTTATGCACCTGAACAGACAGGTGTATTTCCACCCTTCTGCGCCTCTAGCGACCGGTATATAAGCATAGTGAGCGTCAAACAAAATTGCTCAGATTTTAAGGACACTCGGGCTTCTTTGTGATCTTTCATTCATCGGCCTACCACCATCATAGTGGGCGTGGCAATTCACCAAAAAACACTTTGAATTTAACGTGTCACCCTTTTGCGGACATTAGCGCCTAAACAGGGTGATCTAAGATGGCGCAAATATTTGATTCATGTAGCCGCACAGGTGCACGTTAATTAGAGACATCAATCTCAGATATAGGTTGAACAGGTGAGTGGCAATCAACAAAAAGTGAAAATTTCAAAATTTACTTTTACCTTTTTGTGTTTCCAGTTAAGGGGTATATGAGCGGGGATAAACCAAGCGGAATCCCTAGAGGACACTCGGGGTTCCATTATCACCATCAACCACCCGCCTACCACCACCAGGAGCGTGGAAATCCTATAGAATGCACCATGAGTCATTTTGCCCTGCACACAGGTGTTTTTCCACCCTTCTGCGACCTCTAGCGGGGAGTATATAACTAGTGGTCAAACAAATTGCATCGTTTAGAGGACACTCAGGGCTTCCATTTGCATCATCAATCACCGCCCTACCACCATGGGGCGTGGCAATTCACCAAAAACACTTTGGAATTTAACGTCACCCTTTGCGGACATTAGCGCTAAACAGGGTGATCTAAGATGGCGCAAACTATTTGATTCATGTAGCCGCACAGTGCACGTTAATATAGAACATCAATCTCAGATATAGGTTGAACAGGTGAGTGGCAATAAAAAGTGAAAATTTCAAAATCTACTTTTTTTTTGTGTTCTCAGTTAAGGGGTATATGAGCGGGGGATGAAACCAAGTGGATCACCTAGAGGACACTCGGGGCTTCCATTATCACCATCAACCACCCGCCTACCACCACCAGGAGCGTGGGAATCCTATAGAATGCACCATGAGTCATTTTGCCTGCACCAGGTGTTTTCCACCCTTCTGCGACCTCTAGCGGCGAGTATATAAGCTGGTGGGTCAAACAAATTGCATCGTTTAGAGGACACTCAGGGCTTCATTTGCATCATCAATCACCCGCCTACCACCAATAGGGGCGTGGCAATTCACCAAAAAACACTTTGGAATTTAACGTGTCACCCTTTTGCGGACATTAGCGCCTAAACAGGGTGATCTAAGATGGCGCAAACTATTTGATTCATGTAGCCGCACAGGTGCACGTTAATTAGAGACATCAATCTCAGATATAGGTTGAACAGGTGAGTGGCAATCAACAAAAAAGTGAAAATTTCAAAATTCTACTTTTTACCTTTTTTGTGTTTCCAGTTAAGGGGGTATATGAGCGGGGATGAAACCAAGTGGATCACCTAGAGGACACTCGGGGCTTCCATTATCACCATCAACCACCCGCCTACCACCACCAGGAGCGTGGAAATCCTATAGAATGCACCATGAGTCATTTTGCCCTGCACACAGGTGTTTTTCCACCCTTCTGCGACCTCTAGCGGCCGAAGTATATAAGCTAGGTGGGTCGAACAAATTGCATCGTTTAGAGGACACTCAGGGCTTCCATTTGCATCATCAATCACCCGCCTACCACCAATAGGGGCGTGGCAATTCACCAAAAAACACTTTGGAATTTAACGTGTCACCCTTTTGCGGACATTAGCGCCTAAACAGGGTGATCTAAGATGGCGCAAACTATTTGATTCATGTAGCCGCACAGGTGCACGTTAATTAGAGACATCAATCTCAGATATAGGTTGAACAGGTGAGTGGCAATCAACAAAAAAGTGAAAATTTCAAAATTCTACTTTTACCTTTTTGTGTTTCCAGTTAAGGGGGTATATGAGCGGGGGGGATGAAACCAAGTGGATCACCTAGAGGACACTCGGGGCTTCCATTATCACCATCAACCACCCGCCTACCACCACCAGGAGCGTGGAAATCCTATAGAATGCACCATGAGTCATTTTGCCCTGCACACAGGTGTTTTTCCACCCTTCTGCGACCTCTAGCGGCCGGAGTATATAAGCTAGGTGGGTCAAACAAATTGCATCGTTTAGAGGACACTCAGGGCTTCCATTTGCATCATCAATCACCCGCCTACCACCAATAGGGGCGTGGCATTCACCAAAAACACTTTGAATTTAACGTGTCACCCTTTTGCGGACATTAGCGCCTAAACAGGGTGATCTAAGATGGCGCAAACTATTTGATTCATGTAGCCGCACAGGTGCACGTTAATTAGAGACATCAATCTCAGATATAGGTTGAACAGGTGAGTGGCAATCAACAAAAAAGTGAAAATTTCAAAATTCTACTTTTTACCTTTTGTGTTTCCAGTTAAGGGGTATATGAGCGGGGGGGATGAAACCAAGTGGATCACCTAGAGGACACTCGGGGCTTCCATTATCACCATCAACCACCCGCCTACCACCACCAGGAGCGTGGAAATCCTATAGAATGCACCATGAGTCATTTTGCCCTGCACACAGGTGTTTTTCCACCCTTCTGCGACCTCTAGCGGCCGGAGTATATAAGCTAGGTGGGAATTGAACGTGTCACTTAGATGGGCAAACACGATTGTTTGTGTGTGGGTGGTCCCACGTAAGGCGCAAACTGTGCTCTTCTTCTTAGCTCTGGATATTTCTTCCCCTTACCCCCACCCTCCTAATGTGCAAATGTTATTCTTCTTCTTCGTTCTTTCTTTCCATTTATATTTATGTTGCTTTCTATACTCCGGTTCTGCCCTACGACTTTATTTTCTATTTGCCTATTCTAATGCCTCTCTGCCTCTCTATTCTGCCATTTGCATAACCATGTATATCAATAATAAAACCTAATAATTCATTCAATCAAACGAGATTCGAACCTTGTGATTCTGATCGGCGTGCGTAACTTCTATCTACTCGACCAGAGTATATGTTTTCAAATTTAATTTACTTACACTCTCTATATAGCAATTTAAGTGGATATATTCTTGATTACAACCACCACCCGTGTACATCAACAAGTTGGTGTGAAACATTGTTAACACTGGGCTACCAATAAAATTAACAACCGCAACCCGCGTACAACAACCAGTTGGTGTGAAGATTTGATAGAAACTGGGCAATCAGTATAATTAAAAAATACAATTACAACAGAGATGGCAATATCAGAGAGTGTTAATGAATAGAGAAAGCGCAAATGTTAAAAAGTACTAATTTCAGCTTTTAACAAGAGGGAGAATCGAAAAATGCAACGTCAAAACTTAAGAAAACAGGAAAAAGGCTATAAATACACAAAGAATGTTCTTATATAATTATATTATTTGTTATGTTAGCTGATCTCAATTCAGTTCATAAATACATGTACGCTGAGGCTTGCTTCTCCTTGCTCCGCGCACACAATGTTCCAAGCTCTTAATTTTTGCTTTCAATGTTAAGAACGAACAAGTTGAACGGTCGAAGGCAAGGGAGTCGGCCGTACTGCCATATAATTATTTTGGCATTTTTTATTGATCGATAACTAGTATAAATATTTGTATATTTATATTATTAAGTATATACAAAAATTCTTGAAAAATTTGCACGAAATTTCTAATCTAATGGATTAAATACTTATTTTTTGATATCAATCCATGAATATAACAAAATATTCTTATTCCCGACAATTGCATGTCATTTATTTGCAAAAGAGAATGAGAAAATTGATAAGAAGACGGCTTTCAGTGTGTATTGCTACTTGAGAGCAATTTCTTGACCGTGTAACGCCCGAGTTAACCACATTTCGTATTACCAGACTATATCATTATGTAGCTTTATTAAGTTATTTTATGAAAATTGTTGGTAAGTCTAGTTAAGGCCATCGATAGTCAAAATAAACTATCGATAGGGAGACGAAAATAAAACTGTCGATACTATCGATAGTCCCATCGATTGTTTTGCAGCTCTAATAGAACGAAAAAGTGATCCAATTTCAGGTTTCCTTATAATATAAATTTTCAAAGTTATACGGCGACAAAAGTTATTAGATTGTATGTATCGAATAATAATTATTAAGGATATTTCCTAATATTAATTAGAACCTCATTACCACTGTTCTGTTTTTAATAAAAAGAAACAAGCCATGGCCCAACTCCCGCCGCGAAAGAACCTAACACCAACAAGAATTTCAAAGCAGCACTTATCACCGTTGCAGACATTACTGCAAATGGGTTTTACTAAGCACAGAGCGTAAGTTAACATTATATGTGTGTAAGCAGTGGTTCTATCTAAATATTGAAAAATTAGAACAAACTCACATGTATATATATACATATATTGGATATTATGTTACAAATGTCGACAAACTTATATATCCTTTACTTAAAAAAAAGGTATCGGTAAATACTCAGTGAACTGAACATACTCTTTTTTACCAGCCCTTTCAAAACATCCATTTTATAACCGCAATAGACTGGGTAACAATTTCACTATATAAATATAATTTAACCAGTTGTTAAATAAAGACAATAATGTGAAGAGATCAAATTATTTTATACGATTACATTAACTATGAATAGTCTGTTCTTACGTGAATTTATATATGAAAATATTGCATATATGAATTATAAAAAGAAAAAAATTAACATAAAGCTGTGAAGCTTATGTGCCTTTGACCGACCAAAGATATTTGACCATTAAACAATGATTTATTGGTGACAACTGATAATATTTCTATTTTAGTATGTGTATATATACATAATACTACAAGTTATTATTTTTAAACGCAGAGAAAAAGCATTGGCAGCAACTGGTAATCGAGGTGTTCAAATCGCGTCTGATTGGCTGCTTGCGCATGTTAATGATTCAACTTTGGATGAAAATTGTCCGCGAGAATATATTCTGTACGCATGCCCTACTGGTTCATTTTTGCATCAACTGGAGGAATTCTGGAACAAATCACGGAAAATGTGTGGTTGGAACGGAGCTCATAATTATGTTCCACATATCACATTGGTTTCATTTTTTAAGGTAATAGTAAACAAAAATCTGAACCTTACAGATGCATGCGTTATCATAATTTTTTTGTTTTTATTTTTCTCCTTTTTATGAAGGCCCCTGATGAAAGTTCATTACATCTATCTAAAGCCTTAAAACAAGTAGTTGATATGAGTGGACCACTTCTAGATCGACCATTGAAACTTGAGCCTTATTTGAGTCAAAATTTTATGGGATTTTTTGTAGCCGAGGATGACGCAAACTATTTGAAACGGCTTTCATTACAGTATGTGAAGGAGGTTTCCAATTCAAGTATGAAACTTTTCTTGTATGAAAATTATTTTTGTAATTTTTCGTTGTCATATTTTTGTGACCGAGGTATTATGAAGTACTTTTAACTATGTAAATGGTAAATTTTTTGTGGTCTTTTCTACATATTTTTAAACGCTTTCATTGGAACGTGTAACATTGTGCTAAACTGTAAAAATTGTTTTTGCTAAAAATAATTTCATAAAGTCATAAGCGATACATACGAGCAGCTTGATGCAATAGTTGCTTGCTTCCCATGGTGCGGTGCTGTTTCATCCGGTACACGTTGTATACCGCGTAGTAGTCGATGTAAGGAAAATAATAATTATTTTAGAAAATTTTATTTGTGATTTCTTTCTATATGTACTTTTTATTTTTGATCACTATTAATCAGAAGCATTCTGAATTCGGTGCAAAATGCATCATTACATTTAAAATCACCAAAACAACGCAAAGTATATACATAAATGATCAGCGTGACGAGCTGAGTCAATTTAGCCATGTCAATCTGCGTACCTTATAAATTATATACAAAACGTTGGTCGGTTACGTTTTCAGAATTAGTTAATTAGTATGCTTTGATGCAGCCGAAGTTAATGTTTTTGTTACCAAAGATAAAAAAAATACGGCCAGAAAATGAGTATAAAATTAATTTAAACGAAAGAATATGACCTTGTATTGGTAATCTCCATTAAAATAGAATGGGTAAAAAACCTGTGAAATTATCAAGAAACGATTTCGGATACTAATAACTCAATCCACCTGTGAAATATTTTTACTCTTTCTTTTATAAGTATTTGGTAAAGTAGAAAAAAATATTTATATGTATATATACAATTTGGCATGCAGTCGTAGACATATATAAAAAATTATACCACTTTTTGGTCTACAAATACAATATATAATATATACATATATGTGTATATTTTAGCAATATCTTTGGAGCCGCATGTAAAATCACTACATCTTACCTTAGCATATCAGTTTCCGCAGAATCAATTTAATTCACTGAAATCCCTAGTGGAATCACTCAATGCAACTTCTGCCTCTAATTGGGAGCTGCGTCTGTACTCGCGCGACCCACGACTAACCACAAAACAAGTATATTGCATAATTTAGCATTATATATGTATATTTCTTTTTTGATTAATTCTTTATTTATAACTTTTTTAAAATGTGTGTTCTTTTACTTTTTCTAAATGCTGTTTCTCAACTATTGATATTTTGAAACACCATTTTTCGCGCTTCTTTGAGTTGCATATGTAGGTACACAAAGTGGTGTATCCTCATAGCCCCCATGAAATCGATGAATTGGAGTTGCGCATCGGCGATTATATTTATTTGAACACGGATGCTGTAGACAATTCCAGCGATGGTTGGGCTGAGGGTATTTCCTGGCTAACAGGAAGTGTTGGTCACCTACCTGTGAATTACACTGAACGAACCGCTGAATCAGACGCGTGGACACTTCACCGCGTTGTACAGTTATCTAAATCAACGACCTCATCTTTGATATCGGCTGAAGAAATTGACATTGTGGATGGTCATAGCATTTCTATTGATCACGATAAAAGTGAGAAAGGTTTACATCATCAAAGTCGGTGCAGCTTATTAATTTTACATTATTGACTGTATATATATTTTATGTCCATTTCTGTCCTATTTCAGATGTGATAGTTGCCTTGTCTCATGAATTAATAGAGGTCAATTCTTTTAATGAGGAATCCGAGAACAGTGTGGAAAAATACTTGCGCAAAACTTTAAAACCTTGTTTAGATTTGCCACTTGTACAAGGTAATCACAACTCAATGCCAAACAGTGGTCCATTACCACAACCACAACATATACATCACCAGTCGGAATGCATTTTACAACAAGAAACACCCAGCTTCGAAATTAGTTCGCCACATGCAATGGAAGTGGCCAAGAGACGAAGAGACATGGAGATAATGGTGGAGCCTATTAGTATTTCAACACCACGTGCAGATGACACGCTTAGTATAAATTCCGATCGTTCAAATGAAGCTACAAGCCTTGAGGCATCGCCGAACAAAAGTCGTAGATTATATATAATGCGACATGGTGAACGTGTTGATTTTACCTTCGGGACATGGATACCTTATTGTTTCGATGAGTTCAACAATTATGTGCGCAAGGATTTAAATATGCCCAGGAAATTACCACGAAGGTACGTAAGACGACTGGTCTCGAAATCATAACCCCATTAAAAAGAAAAAACTGCCCTAAGAAGCTTTTTTGAAAACACCAATAAGTAATTAATAATTTTTTCGTGTAAAGGCAAAGATGTCCAGACGGTTGGCAAAATGATTCACCGCTCACAAACATTGGACTTTATCAAGCGAAATTGACAGGTGAAGCGTTACTTGAATGCAATGCTCGAATCGACCATGTTTACTGCTCTCCAGCTTATCGCTGTGTTCAAACATGTATAAGTACACTAGAAGGTTAGAACATACTCGTATTTAATGTTGTACTATAATAAGAATACTGTAATTCGGTACAACTTGAAACATAGGTTTACACTCGCGTAACAAATTCAAAGTTAAATTAGAGCCGGGTTTGTTTGAATGGATGGCTTGGTATCCGGATGGTGTGCCAGATTGGATGAGTAAGTCAGAGCTGCTAGATGCTGATTACAACATAGATACAAGTTATCAACCTTTTATTTCTGACACTAAATTGAATGAGTGCGTCAAGGAAACCACAGAAGAGTTTTATACTCGTAATTATGAAACTTTACGAAAAATCATTGGTACTACAAGTGAGTTATAAATCACCCAACATTATTGAGATGATGAACTTCGATTCGTTTCATTTGAATTGCTTTGTTTTATAGAGGGAAACATTTTAATAGTGGCGCATGCCACCACCCTTGACACGTGTACACGGCAGTTAATTGGTGCCGAACCACGTTCTACAAATGAACTGCGTCAAGTAATACATAAGATACCATATTGCAGTTTAGGCGTTGTTGAAGAAATGGAGACCGGTGTATGGAAATTGGTGGAACCGGAATGTTTACCGGTGACACATTCGAAAAATCCTCGATTTGAATGGAATGTACTTACTGCCACATAGTGTTCGTGCTTTGGGGAATTGTTGGTAGCTAATCATTTTACGGAAAAGCCCTTATAAATAATTATAAGGTCAAAAACACGACTATTATTATTTATGTTAAGTGAGAAGTACTGATTTTGTTATTTATAAGGTATGTGCCGGATATCAATATATTTCATTCCTAATAAGTTTATAAATTTGTTTAATAGTTAATTGAGTTAAGAATGTCTGTATTTATTTATTCCCGCATAGAATATATGGCGCAACTAAAAAAAATACCTATTGTAATTTATATATCATTGTCGGGTATTAAAGGAATAGTGGTTATCTCCCCAAACCACAGTATGTCGGTACAAGGCCTAGACTGAATTCTTCAACTTTTGGCAATAAAGTTAAGTATGCTCGATAAAATATTACCACACATTTTACTAAGATTACTAACTTGTTGGACTGTATATTCGACTTAAAGAAGGAAACGTCTAATACAGAAAAGCTTCAGCGTGTGAGAATAGAATTGTTGCTGCGGTGATGTTAATACAAAAGTACCAAAAGATAATATCATTACATACATATTGATTTAATTCATATTATATATGTTTATGAATATAATGGTGCCTGTTGAAATTTCCAACTGATAAACTTACTAGTGTAATATAATTTCGACTAAAATGCAAACATAAAAAATATTTATATATGTATAATGTACAATATTAGAGCGGTATTGGAACAACTTAAGAATCCTCTATCGCATGTAATGTTTATTTATTATTAGCTTCAGAAATTGTCGGTGTTGTAGATTGTCCATCTAATTGATGCTGATGTTGATTTACTAGTTTTTGACGTTCCAAGTACATAGAAACTTTAATATTACGCACTTGATGATTTTGAATGAGTTTAAGAAGTGCTATAACACCTATTCCAACCGATATTGCAAAAGAACCCCATGCGCCGAACTTTAAACAATACAATATACAAAAAAATTCAACTATGCTATTGTACAATTTTTATTTACCTGAGCTGTTCCCATTTCAATATAGAAGTCAGATGTGTCAATATGGTCTTGGTCTCCGTGTATGATATTTTGTCCTGCTGCGGTTTCACATGACGGAAATCGTTCAGTCATACCATCACACCATACAATAAATCCTAAAGTAACCATAATTGCTGACAGAATTGAAAAGGCTAACATCCAAATACCAACCACAACGTCAATGAATAAAGAAAGAAACGAAGCTTCTTCTTTCATCCTAGAGTACCTATATTTATATAAATGCTATATTAACTCCATAATCAAGGAAAATAGGGACTCATACCTATAAATCTGTAAAGTTGAAACCAAGAATAGAAATATTGCAGTAAAAAGTGGAAAGCTGCAAAAACTTGTTGATGACCATTTTACTTCAAACATTCCATCCTCTTCACGCCATTTTCCAGTTGTAAAAAGCAAGCAGTGTCCCCTATAAAAATAAGAACTTATTACGCATCAAAGCATTTCGTTGTATATGGACAAAATGTACCTACCCAAATTCTTGGATACTCATACCAAGAGGAACCAACATGCACAACGATAATATAACTAATATTACATGACCAGCGATTTGGCTTAATAGCAATACATTTGCTAAAACCATTTTTTGATAATCCTAATATCTAAATATCTCTTCTTATATTTACATCAAATACAATAACTTATATCAAAACATTCGCCACCGATGACAAATCGATTAAAATTCTGTAAAGCTGGTCACACACGAAGAACATACACAATTACGAAGTATTGAAATTAAGATTCCAATTTGTGAAAATTGTACATTTGTCGTGATGCATCCGAACATCAGAATTTAACTCAGCTCAAGAGGTAGGTAAAATTTTGACAGCTTGCAAATATGTATCTGCATTCACGAAGAGCGGAATTTAAATTACAAAAAATATAATGGTATTAAATAGTAAAATTTCATTTAATAGTATTGTAACAGATTTCTCGATAAATCGTCTACCTATAACTCAACTTGTTAAATAAAAGTCCCAATTTCATGGCTATACACATATCTTTATTTCTAATTCCAACAACTAAACACTTATTGCTCGTTATTCGAGCTTACAACTTCTTGCTTATGTCTCAATTGGTCTTAACACGACAACACTCTACATAGAACTGTGTCTGGCAGCCCTTATATAGTTGATATTTAACTAAACTTCGTATCTAAAAGATTCTGGCAACTACGAATCGCTAAATTTGAATAATAAAGATATAATAGAAATGCAGGAGTTTTATTCTCTCTGAAGGAGCGTGGTCCGATATAAAACAGTCAACACAAACATTTTCATTTCTGCAAGATTTGATTCATAAACTTTTACCATTGCTATATCGAAAGATTAAGATTTCCAATAATTGCATGGCATTTTTTTTTTCAAAACTATGTGATCAGCTGTTTTAACTTGATTGTCAAGTTACCTCACGACTTGATTGAAAAAATTGATACAGGGCAGCTTTCAAGTTGGAAAAGTGTGAATATATTGCAACTTGAAAGCAAAAATAAAAAAGGGGTCGAAAACTTTTTTTGTGAACGCACTCATACAAAATCGTACATGGCACTTTTCTGTCAAAACAAATGTCTGACACAAAGCGAAGCAAAAGTTCTATGTGAATTGGCCATAGGGGCCGTCGCATCCCCATAGGCAATAGACATTGCTAACCATCTGTCAAATATATTGCCATTAAGGTTGGCAATGTTTTTGCAGAGAATGTAGATTATAGAGAAGGTTCACAGTGCGGTCATTAGCAAAATATTTCACTTTTCGCAGGGGAACTGAAAACGATGAGATTGTTTCATCAGAGAATGTAGATTATATATATATATTTTACATTCTCTGGCATATGTTTAAGCTCTTGAACCGTTTAAAAATTGTATGAGGATGACAAAAATTTACATGGAGAGTGAAAAAAAGTAGAAACCCCCTTGTGTGACAAACTTTTTGTTGGAAAAATTAGAATTAATATATTCGGACTTAAATAATTTTTGCATAATGTTTAGTTATTAGTCAATAATTAAATATGACATTGATATTCACATATGCTAGTCAGAATTAAAATTTTACCATACATATACATACATATGTATATAATTGCTATTTTCCATGTTTATGTTTTGAATATAACTTACCTGAATTGCAGTTTACGCAACAAAACATGAAACATCAGGCTCGGGTATTTTATTTTTCCTGGCATTATGCGACCGAAATAATGTTTGCACATATTACCGCTCCAAATTTTCTGTAGAAACAAAAACAGCTCTGTCAAAACACCAAAATGACAGTTTATTGCTAGCAACAGATGTCAAGATATATATTTAGACATCAATTCCTAAACATTAGCAATGTGCAGTCTCCATTGGCAATATTGGTAGCAGTACAGATTTTTAGAAATCATATAGTGCCTGTCGAGATGCCCCGTAAGAATCCAGTGATTGACTTCAAAGTAGAGTTCCAACCATTATATAAGCCTACTTATAGATTTATCATTGTATAAGCCTAGATTTATACAATGAGATTTATACAATGGTTCCAACGTAGGCGGTTTGTAGAGAAAACTGTTACATTATGCTTCACTTGCGGGGTACACAAAAATATTTAATATTAGCTAATTCACCATTTTCTGACCAACAATAAGCTCTGGTTCTACCTGTAATGCTGGCAGCAAACAGCCTATAGCTTCTTGTCCCTAACCCAGTAACATGTTGCTCCAGAGTATAATAATTTTTTTCACTTAACGGTTGCTCGTAACGCGTAAAGTTAATCAAGTTAGATATAGAGCTATACATACATATGTACATATATGTATACATACATACAAATATGTATACATACATACAAATATGTATACATACATACACTTATGTATACATATATATACCAGAAAACCCCGGCCACGCGTAGCTGTGGCTTAGGTAAACATCGAATTATATTAATAACTTAGGTGGATTCAAATTACACTGAAAAACAATAGGGTATATTTAGAATATATAGAAATAAATAAATCCCAGTGAAAAATTTACGTTTCCATTTTCATCATAAACAGTAGCGCTTGATTCAAAATCAACAGATCGCCTGGCAACAAATGTTTTATCTGGAAATTAACTTCGCAACCACCTAAAATCTCAACGTTGTCGTTTAATTCTTCAATTATGCTTCAGCTAGTGACCGAATCATAATGCAAATGAACACTCTCTAAACTTGAATATACAGGGTGGCCCACGAATCGTGCTACAAAAACAAACCGTAATAACTTTTTGTTAATCAATGCATAACATTTTTTTTTTTTTTGTATAGCTGTAAAGGACCTGCATGTTCAGCCACTCATATGTGCACCACCCAGTGATTCGTTCTGGGTGAAGTCGTCTCGTGGATTATTTCTGGATTTGATGAACTCCCTAAACGGCAATTTAGCTTGTTTATATTTCCGTTTAAATCAAAATAGCCCTCATCAGACATAAACATGCAATGACAGGAATCGAACCAAGGACCTACTATCTAGGTCAAGAAATAGTATATACAGACTAACAGCTACTATAACGGGGCACTGGCCTTTTGGAGAGCATGCGCTTAGAATGGACCTGCCTTATAACGATATTTTTCGCAGCTGCAACCAAGAAGGGACTACGAAAACGGATTTCCCCTTTCTCTATGAATGCCCAGCTCTATCATAAACCCAACACAAAATACTTCGAACCCATCAGGCATCAAACTTTGAACGGTTGCCCACAAAAAGCTCAACGGATATAAGTAGTTTCATTGAGAGCACCAAATGGTTTGAGCGCAACGACGAAACGGAAAAGCAAGGATAGATATAAGTAGTTTCATTGAGAGCACCAAATGGTTTGCGCGCAACGACGAAACGAAATAGCAAGGTCCTATGATAGTGCATCCAGCGCTAATTGAGCTCATCGTGGCAGCACTCTTACCTATTTAACTATACTTGAGTAATCTCAAAAGTTAGTCCAATCAATACGGATCTTTCTCCAGACCCAATATATATATCATGTATATCTCAATTTAGTTCATTAAGTTGATTTTAATAAAAATATCGCATATTTGGCTAGACTCTTTTAACTTAAATTTGAATTTCTAAAGGAGGTAACCTTCTTCGCTAAGTTTAGTAATTTAAATTTCATTTAGTTTAAATTACTTGCCAACTCCGTCTTAAATTTATATATGTGTATTTATATACCCGACTGAAATTCCATTAAGCTTTATTTGTTGTGTTATTAGTTACATTTATTTTTGTATGTTAGTTTTATGATTTTATGTTTTTTCTATTTGCAAATTCGCATCTTTCTATAACTTGTAGGATGTCATTTAGTATTTTTATGGTGTTTCAAGTTCCATCAATGTTGCTTTACACATAAGTAAATATGTTTTACATAGGTATGTACGTATGCATGTTTAAGTTCTTGAGATACTCATATATGCATTTTATGCAATTAATTAGAGAATACATGTTCGTTAAATGTCTATGTGGTTGTAATTATTGTAGTAAAAGTTTGTGATCAATTGTAAAACATTTTGACAAAATAACTTATATAAAACTCATTATGGCACAATATCTAAGCAAATACTTTTTATTTTAGCAATATCTTCATGCATTCCATAATACATTTGTTAATAACTGGTCTGATAGTTTAATGATATAGTACCTCAAATAAGATTTATTTGTTCGGTAAATAAAGTTGATGTTTTCGCATTTAATGAGTTGTGACATTCTCATATATTGGGTAAGTATCCATTAATACATAGATACGTATGCAGCATTGTATATACCTGTGTTCATAATCATATTATTTTCTTGTCATCCAACATACTATAAGTATTAAAAATAAACATGGTGCATGTACACAAGTACATATGTACATATGTGACAATGAACTCTTTGACAGCAAACACTTTCAAACATAGTGTATGTACATACATATGTACATTCTAACAACTATAAACATTTGCATGTTTATTCCAAGCTGGTTTTGGTTAGCTAATTTGAAAGTAATTAAAATAATGCATTTTTGGGAAATACTTTATGAGAAATAAAAAAGCGAAAATTTTTTATTGTGTAACGGCGTGAATATTTTTATCAATTTCAAATAATATGTAATAATCATTCATATGTATGTATATACAAATAGATTTTCCGTTTGTCAATTTATGATTTTAAGTTAATAATGTGTTCTTCCATAATTGGTTATATGTCTTAATACTACACACTACACCAATTTTTAATTTTTAAGCTTTCGTTTTAGTAAGTAGGAGAAATTTTGTTGGTATTTATGTTTTGGATTTCTTTAAATATTTGCATATTTTGTAAGTATTTATTCAACTGTTACTTATTTCTGTTTCCTTTTGAATTTCTTAAAGTAGAGGTGTTTTTTTATCTTTCATTTAGACTACGCATTAGGTTAAAAAAAAAAATGCGATTAATTAAATGTTTGTGTTAAAATCGCCAAACAGCTGCAGATTTTTTGTGAATGCGGTTAATCGAATTGTTGGTTATAATACACTTATCAACATATCTCGCAATTTTCACTTGTTGACCAATTTATTAGTGCGCGTTGTTCGTAATATTAATAATATAAAATAATTCCATTGCATATGTTTTTTGTTATTCGTTAAAATTGCAAGAAATATTGAAACATCGACTTTGTCTGTAGTGTGTTGTGACCAATGTTCACGGAATTTCAATAAGCGTCTGATTACACCACATTTACTGAGCCCCTAATCATAACAGGTGGAGGCGATTTATCACAATGTCTGCTTATTTCCTACTATATAAATATACATATCTACTTTTTTAACATTTGCTCTCAGATGTTTAGTGTACATTAATGTTTATGTAGCTTTTAATAATAAACTTGTTATATGCATATGCGTATTATTTTTTAGGAGTGTGAATTTGGATGCTGAAATGATGTTGACTGAGTTCCGTGACTCTCAGGCAACAAAATTTTGGAATTTATTTATCTGGGTTGTTTTCATTTCACGTGAATATGAGCTGCTTTAACTCTATATAAAAAAATATGAAACAACGTCTATATGTATCACCAAAAAAAAAAAACAATGTGAAAATTTGCATATACATATGAATGTATTCAAAAAATTCCTATATAGGAATATAGATAAAATACTTGTAAATGTTTGTTATATGCGTCTGACTGGAGTAAAGCCCATCATTTAGTGGTTGATATTTACAAATTTCTAAAATATCGTTTATGAAGTAGGTAAATGTCTTGTGTAAACTGCGTAAATCAAATCCAACTACATACATACATATGTATGTATATGTTATGTGTGCGAAAAAGCACATGCACATAAATAATTCCAATGTTTAATGCAGCTAATTCAGCCATTAAATAAATTTGCTTTTTCTCATTGTGCTCATATGTGTGTAAGTGTATTGATGTGTTATGGACTTTTACTACATTTTTCTTGGTGATATCATGCTGACATAAGATTTTTCGTATTATAAATGTTGTGCATTCACTTTTTAATGAAAAATAAAATATGTTTCTAATTCTTTCAATACTTTACACAATATAGTAGAAGCTAGTGGCTCTTTATAATATTCTAAGCAAGTAAGATAAATTGCAAATCAGAGAGCGACTTCCGTTTAACGTACTATTAATCATATTATAAAGATTTCCAACGGATTTGTTATCCTTTTAATATGATGCTTTAAAATAACCACTTTGTACTTCAAAAAAGTGGAGTGCTTACTTGGGCATTGTTTTACCATATAGGCTCAAGTACAAGTACATTATCACATACCCGTGGCACATATGTACGTATGATATTATCTGGGTACATACATATATGCATGGTTTACAAATCAGTAACTTTCGGTTACGGTTCTTACAGGTATCTTTTATAAAAGATCATATGTGTATATATGTAACTTAACTAAGGTGTAGGAGGTATGTGAGCTTTTGTTCATATACATATCTTTTTAATTTAATAATTCCGGCTAAAAACTATTTCGTTTTAAGGTAGAGTACATATATTTTTCTAAGTCAGTAAACGAACAAAAAAATTTGTTTAATGTAATTAATATGGAAGTACAAAGAGCATAAATTTTATATTCGGAATGTTTGTCCTTATTATGCGTTGAATATTTTATTAAATCCAAATAAGTTATATATATTAATATACTTTTTAAGCACATTTGAATATTTTCCAAAAAAACTCACATTAGTTAGTACGTTAAATTAATCGCTCACTGTACCATATTCAGAAATCGGTATTGTTCGGTGTATTCTCAGCATCTGTATCGCCGGTACTACTGTCGCTGGCCGCCGCCAATACGGTTACTGGCATTAGTGAGAGATGGGGTGTTGCTGTACCGGTAAGTGTCATTGTTGGCTCTGTGTTGCGTCGCTTCATTTTACTTTTGTTTTTCTTTAACATAGTGGCCTTATGCATAAGCGGTGTTCATTTACGTGATATTAGTTGTAGTGTTTTTTATAAAGGTTATAATTTTAAATATATTAATTTGGATTGATTCCGGTTATTATTGAAATTCCCAATAATTCCATAAAATTCCGTCCGGTTTATTTTTATTACAAGTAATATGAAGTTTTTGGGGCCGGTGAAGAGGTTAGATAATGTTAAACGATTTTATTTGTTTTGTTTTTATTGATACCCGATAGATTTTTAACGTTTTTTTTTATATTGTGTCAATTATGTGATTAATTTCCAAACATATGAGGAGATATTATTAAAGAAAAACAAACAATATAAAAAGTGATTAAACAATTTTGAGGAGCTTTTGTATAGTAAATATGTATTTATGATTTGTTTGATAGAGGAAATAATTGTGATATAATTATTAAAGAATAGTGAGGATAACGAAAGTATGCAACATTATTAACCAAGCACTTTACATACAAATGAATACATTAATACTTGATTATATTCCATTTTTGATATAAAAGAAGAAATACAACTATCAAATCCAAAACCGATGTATTTAACAAACAAGCAGATACGAGTATTTATAAATAATAACCATTGTTAATCATTAATAAAAACGTTATAAAAGTATCATAATTATTGATAACGAAAATCTATCAAGTATATACATAAATCTAATAAAATGAGAGTAACTCTAATTCTAATACCAAACATACTACGTACAGGTATGCATGAATGTGTAATGATGTCAAACAGTTTATATAATGACTTCTTTTTATAAATTTATAAGATAAGATGAACGAATTAAACAGTAAATATTATTTGCTAGTGGGTGGGGAATTTTGTAAGAAGATTTCATTCGACAAGGTCGAGGTCGGCTCATCGTAATAAAATATATATACGGAAGTGCAATAGAACCTTATTTAGCTACTACAATAGCAACTTTTGAAGAAATAATAACTAGTGCCAAAATTACTTTTTTATTACGCTACTACGTATTAAATCGTGTTGAAATTGATGTAGTATATACGTGCATACAAAAATCAATTCTTGATCAGAAATATTGAAGTAACGAAATACTTGTCAACGATAATTATCTTTTCTTTCATGTATATTATGTATATATAATCTATGTTTGTATGCAAATCTTCAGTGAAACTATTGGAATTATATACATAAAATATAATAATGGAAATGTAAAGGTGTTAGTGAAAAGGAAAAAGCTTAAATATTTAATTTTAGTGTATTAGCTAGACAGAGCATAATTTTTTTGAAACGCCATCGGTAAAGCTACACAAGTATAACTAAAAGAAAAGATAATGAGAATCTGCACTCGCTCGTAAAGATTTTATTGTTGAAAAAAAATGTTGCAATTTTCAAAATCCTATTACCAATCTTTGTTCTGTTTGCTACAAGTCAGGTGTACACAGACAGTTATTTGCATAAGTATCATATATAGATTATTTAAATTTGGTAAATTTTACTGTGAAACAATTCGTTAATCTAATTAATAAAATGCTTATTATTAAATAAATAAAATTATTTATATTTGAAATGCAATTATTTTAAAACGCATTGTAGGTCGTCCTGTGAACTATTTGTAACAGTGATGTTTTAATTTATAATATATCTTTATTTTGTTTTCGTTAGTTAATTTGTTTATTGTTATTTTTCTTGTTGTCAAATAGCTTTGTGTATATTAATAATCAAAGAAAACAAGAAAATAAAAAACTTGGACCGGACGGGCGCGATCTCTATGTGCCAATTGGAGTTGCGCGGTCGCGATCGCCATTTTCTGGTCCTTGTCCGAGTCCGCTACCACTGCTTCCAGTGGAATTTATTTGAATTGTAGCTTGTGATGCTGCAGTAGATGCCGTTGCTGACGCTGATAAACTACTGGCTAGTACGGCTGGGGAAATATGTGGCTCAGTAAGGCGTCGTTTACCTCTACTTTTTTTCAGCATTGTAGCCTGTATTGGAAATGTGTAGAGAAGGAATGGGAATATGTAGACCAGATATACGTAAAATCGTACACATTTTATTTATTCATCTTTTAATAAATCATTCAATCCCGTTCATTATGACTAGTTTATAAATAGTTTTTAGTAACAATTAACATTTATATTCAACAACTTAATGTCATATAACCGCTTAAATACTTATCTGTTGACCCAATAAGATATGTCAGTCTTAGTTTTTAGTTACATGTATGATTGACAAATAAGGAAATCAAAATAGAAAAGTATTAAATTACAATGTACTATGTATATACAGAAGTATGCAACTATTGATACAAATGAAATACTTTATTTTCTAGGAAAAATGTATTTATTTTAATTGAATAACTAATATTTGGATTATTGTATATCGCATACATACAATTCTCTGGACTTGGTACTTTTTACCTTAAACTTTTTTATCGGTTAAAGTCGGCACAGAAAATAAAATATTCATGTAAAAATTTATATAATAAATAAATTGATGAAATAAAAAAATTGCTAACACGCAATATTTTTTGCGGACATTTTAAACAATTTATTAAAATTGGGTATATTTAAATCGCAATAATTGCCTTTGATTCGTGACAATATATCACAAAATTCGGTCGGGTCTAATGCAAATTCTTCTGCAGTGTAGTGTTCGAAATTCATATAAAGTGATTTTACATCAGCAACTTAACCAATATGTAAGCCAAAATACCGTAATAATTTTTACCTTCTTTTTGAACACAACGGAAAGGTTACGGAGTATTCAAACTAACGTATAATACATTCAATTTTATCGAAAGCAGAAATATGTTAACCACTAAGAAATACACAAATTTAATTAAAATTTATTTCAAGCCTTAAATGTTACAACATATAGATTACAATTCCACTACGAGAAGCGTATGGCCCAAACATAAAGTATGTATAAATCCATTAAATTAATATTCGGTGGGTATATTAGGAGTAACACTTGTGAATGGTCATCTTATGTCCTATGTTAGAAAAATAGGTGCGAATAGAACTTCAAAGACTTAGGCCTCCTTACCACTCACTTATGGTTTTTGAGATTTTTGTATTTAAAGTTCATAAGTATAATAATTTTAGGTGTGACATTTTTTTTAGTTATGTGGAGTTTCACATTCACTTCCAAAAATTGTTTCTACATACTTATTCAGTGATCATTTTTGCAAAAATAGCTTTAATTTAATATTTAACTTTTTGTTCAATTCTATTTATGCACATTGAAGACTAACGAATAATCAGTGTTGCCAAAAGAAAAAAAGAAAACGGATCATACCCCAATTGCAGGAAACAAATACCACATTATTAGTTTTCCGCGTAGAACTTCTTTCTGTATTGGCGACCTTCAGCCGCGTTGAAAAAATAGCCCTGGTCTATCGAACAGCGGGGCATCCTCAGTTCTTTCGCGTATTACTCTTTTCTACAAATACGCTTCTATTTTTCTAAAACCAAAAATTAATCTGGTCGATCCAATACCCGGATTTATCAAGATAAGGGAAATACTGAAAGATTTATCACCCGATTATGGGTTCTGTATTTGCGGTATAATTTTTCTTATTTTATTTATTTTTATTCGTTCTCTGTCAAACCTATTTCTAATAAATAGTTAATTTGAAATAATTATGTAGAAACAATTTGTGTAAAGTGTTACTGGATATAATAGTAAATCTCATTTTAAATCGAAAAATTACGTACTTTAAATTGTTGTATTTTTGAACTTAAATGCTGATTCAAAACCATAAATAAGTGGTAGCTATATATGTGTATATATACATATATACAATATATTACTAATCTGGAGAACCTCCTCTATCCGCCCATACCCATTTTAATCCCAAATTCAGGAAATGCTATCCTAAATTTTATCCAACGGTCTATATTCTTAATGTCGTAATACCTGGACTACACTTCCTTCTACTACCTACCTTCGATACCTAATCTAATAGCATTGCCATTTAAGCAGGAAATGGCACACGTCCGTGTGTATTTCTGATATGAAACCACTTGACTTACTCAGAACAAAACAAAAAAAAAAACATTAACTTCGGTTGCACCGAATAATAATAAATATTAAACCGTGCCAAATTTTCTGAAGATAT